AAATTTAATCGCAAATCTTTTTTCGCAACGATTACGCGATCTAACGACCAATTTTCCACTAAACAGATTCCACTCGAATAAATTCACGGTGGAATCAACAGATGTTGCCTATTAATTTAACCGAAACCTCGCTATCTCATATTAGAAGTCTATCTCATAATCAGGGCTGGGAAGTAACTTGTAAGTTACTTGTAACGAAGTTACAGTTTCTATCCATCTGTAACTGTAACTTAACTCACAATCAGTTACGTTTTTTCGATAACTAGTAACTAATTTAATTAGTTACATTAATAGTTACTTTATATATGCTAGAAATGACCAAACGCGCGATTCGCGCGCGCAGTTTGTAGCCGAGCACTGTACATTTTTAAGAATTTGTATACGTGCAAAGAAGTAATTGTATGCGCAACGTCAATTTAAAATAGAAAGTAATTTGTCACTCACTGATACGATTCGCGACAGCAGAGTTGTATGTATATCGTCAACTGATGTATATGTTAAACTGTAAAAATACAAATATGCATATGATTATTACAGAGTAATTATGTAAAATCGAAATTATTGTATTAAATATACTTTACATTTTATATTTTTTCAAGTAGATATTTATTAAAATAATTATATAGAAGAATACTGAAAAAGTCTCTTTTAAATATGAACTCACAAAATTGTATACGTGTGGTTTTGTCTCTAATTCGAATCCTCGTTCGAATCATTTTCAATAAGTCAAATAAAAATACAGAACAAATGTTTTATTTCGCACAAGTAGCAGATAAAAATGTAAGACACTTACCTCACGTTTTTCCCGCTGTTGCCCGATGCCTCCTTGGCCTGCACATCCTCTCAGATTTCCTTGTCGCACTTACACAACACTCACTCGCAAAAATCATCGTCGCGCGAAATTTTCGGGCCCTCCCGTACACGATGTGAAATACCGCGAAACGCACGAAATATTATTAACAAATATCGCGTCATACAAATTACTCAAACTGACGACTTGCATTTTTTATTCGGAAAAATATTGGGATAAATCACTTTTGAATTGGCGATACAAAACGCAACGCGAGCATCGGAAGCACAATCCGCGGCGAAGTAATTATTAGTCCGAAACGAAACAATGTTTTACAATCTTTGTCATTCAATCTAATCCCCGGAATAAATTACGTGAGCGAAATGTTCAGCGATAAATAGTTGTTATTAATTGCAACAGTCAATCGAGATCGCTTTCGATTACATTTACATAATGTAACGACGCGCGATAAGCGACTTTCTTTACTCGCCGCCCGTTCGAGTTGCAAAAACCGACAGAGCGAATTACAACGCGAACGCCGAAGTCGCACTTTTCTCTCTTCTCCCGAAAATGGAACAGAAACTACACGAAATCGAGAGACAAAAGCGCGGTGCGTAAACGGGATGTAACCGCGACAAAATACCACGGTTTGCATTCACATTTTAAATAAGTTAGTCTTGTGAAATATCTATTTGCACCTTGATAAAGAGCCGTCGCCTCAACATGCAATTCGTTTCTCGTCACAAGTTGTACAAACTTAATAATTACTCGAGGAACTTCACTTGTTACTGATAAAGGCGCACAATTCAACAGCGTTTTACCCCTCACATTCGTCGCGATCGAGTTTTGGAAACCGATAACGCAAAAGTAATAAGCACGCGCGGAGCGACTCTCGCCACTGCCTGCCGGCACGACGTTCGGCGGGCGAATGATAGCGCGGCGACCTTCAGGCACACGGTGGCACGCAAAAACATCGTACGTCACCGCGCCGAGAGAAAAACAACGAACGTTGAGAATTCGTTGGCTTTTTTTTTGTCCCGTGACTGTTACTACGTTTTGTGTGTCATTCTGCGGACTTATAAGAATCGCAGTTACTTAAAACTCGCGTAAACTTACACGGTCGGTCTCGCGCGCGCGCGTTACTTGGCGTGAGACACTACCGTGTCTCGTGATTCTAATTACCAAGATTAGAGATTTTACCGCAATAGTCGGTGTATACAAGTGTATATTTCTAAATTGCAAATCGCCATTCGCTACGAATCTAAAGCGTCGTCTACAATAACCGGCGTAAGCGTGGAGTAAGAAGTAAGAGTAGGAGTAACGTTTTTGGCGTAAGCTGTTTACGCCGACTCAATCTACAATACGGTGAAGTAGGTGTTGTAGGCATGCGTGAAAAGGCGTAAGAGTAGGCGTAAGAAATAAAAATAATTCATTTCGCTTACGCCCTTACTCCAGCTCTATTAAACCGGAAGTAGCTCTCTTACGCCTACTCTTACTACTTACTCCACGCTTACGCCGGTTATTGTAGACGACGCTTAAAAGAGAAGTGACGCACACCGCGCCTCGAGAAGATCAATCGGCGTCGCGGAAAAGAGGCCTCAACCGTTGGAGATTAACGACATTCGCGCTGGTGACGTCTCTTTTTTAGAAAGGGATTTTAGTCCTCGCATAAACGCCTTTATCGGCGCTCTACAACTCAAATGCAGATTTGATATTTTTATCTTCAAAATTTCAAGAAGGCAACTGCGAAGCAACGATTCGTTACTTCTTAACTGTAACGCGTTAAAGGCTGGTTTATGCAAGGCCGTGACCGTTAACTTGTGCCGGAATCGGTAAAAAATTAACAAATTACAGCCAACTATTCTCTACACGTTTAACGGTGATTGGACAACTTTTACCGATTCCGGCATAAGTTAACAGCTACGGCCTTGCGTAAAGCAGCCTTTACTTTTCAGAATTGGTAACGTGTAACTGTAACTAGTTACATTTTTAGCGGAAAAAAAAACTATAACCGGCAACCAGATACTTTTATTATAAACTATAAAGTACTCAAGGGAAAATAAAGAGTCAAGATGACGTTAATTTCATGTCACATATGACATAAATTCGGTCGATATGACAGCAAATTGACGTTTCACCTTGACTTTTCATTTTCCCTGGGCAACTTTCCCAACCTCGCTCATAATATACCGTAACTTCGCGGCGTTTAACTTTTTCCCTCCAACATTCCTGACTCGCCCTTCGGCTCGAATCCATTCTCCCTTCGAGCCTCTCTTCCTCCTGCGACGGGAGTCTCGAGCTATTCTCCCCGAAGCGGCCGAGTCCGAGGTGCGTTCCCTCCCGCGTTCAAAAGTTCTCGCGGATTTTCGTCGAGTCTCGCGTTCTAAAATTACACCTCGACGACAGGAGCGTTGACCGACAGTCACCCCCCCCCCCCCTTCCACGGACTCGGCCAGGTGCCCTAGTAGGCCCTCTCGCCGGACGATGTCGCTCCTTCACGGGAACAGGTGAGGTGAGGTGAGGTTACGTTCGCGTCGAACACCTGTTGTGTCAAAAGCGCGACGAGGTATCCCGTAACCCCGAAGGCAGGGACGCGAGCCACGTAAATCTACTCGACCATGGTAATTAAGACACACATTGCGACTCTGCGTTCCACTTAGAACATGTAATATCCCATTCTGGGGCACGATCCACCCTCCTCGAATGTCTCGCGCGCGGTCTTGCCTCGCCTACTGGCCACCTCCTTTTGCACAACCGACCCGCTTAACGGTGCGCGCTCCGCCTTGCTCTTCGCGTCTCATCCGGCGTTTAATTGTTGCAGGCGCGCTACTTCAGAGAAGAGGACATTGACGGTACGTCGAGAACGCTCGCGGGATCATCCTCTGCGAGGCAGATCGAACGAGCGACCTGATATTGTTGTTCTTGCAGAGTTCCGGGAGTGCTTCTACCTGTTCGCCCGGAGCGGTCAGATTCGCACGCTCGACGAGCTCACTATAATCATGAGGTCCCTGGGCTTGAGCCCGACCATCGCGGAATTGAACAAGTACATGAAGGACAAAGGTAACCGACGGCTCACCATGTCCAGCGAGAGAGGGAGACTCTATCTTGCGTCGATTCCAGGTGGAAAGATGTCCTTCGCCGATTTCCTGGAAGTCATGCACCTTCAGACTCGCGTGGAGGACCTACCGAAGGAGGTGATCAAGGCTTTTCAGGCCGCCGATACCTCTCGCAGTGGCACTATACCGGCACGGCAGTTGGCGCACATGCTGCTTCATTGGGGAGAGCAATTGAGTAGCAAGGAAGGTACGAAGCGAGTAAATCATTAATCGTAGCTACGTCTGGCACGCTGCTCGTTTGTTGCAGTGGAGCAGATCTTCCGCGAGGCCAATGTGTCGCTAAACGGGCACGTCAAGTACGAGGACTTCGTGAAGATCGCGTGCGCACCTGTGCCCGATTATTATTAGGGACTGAGCGGCTTTCATATTTATTCTGAGATGTGGCTTGCGCTCTTGTGCATTCCTACGAAATGCGCGGGAGAGGAAAGTACTTTTTTGTTTTGCAGGAGAAAGCGTGGTTGCGGGACTTCCAGTTACTGGATGAATAAAATATATCTCGTTATTTATTCCCATTATATCTTAACTTATACTTTCAAACCCTGTTTAAGTACATTTCGGTATTGGCGATACATTTATTATTCCATTACAGAGAACGGGTCTTCAGCCACGAGGAGGAGCGCTCGTTTCTAAATCTATATTTTATATCGATAGACACATCTTACAGCGCAATAATGAACTTTTGCGAATTTACTCCGTCACCAAATTGATATATTCTGTGACGGACTCTATGCGTATATTTACAGTTTCGGCTACTTGAAAATTATTCCTGATTCGTTCGATATAAAAAAGAAATCGAGCGAGCAGAGGTGAATTTAAGTTGTAATTCGCGAATCGCGCGCGAGTTCGCGAAAGACGGTCAATTTTTTATTTTGAAAAACATTTGCTGCCGGAGCTAATACACGGCCGTTTTACATTCCTTAAATTCACCCCTGATCGAGAGATACATACTTCGGCTTCTAAACATGTTGTATCTATCTAGAATTACACGGTACACCTTTACGTTTATTCCGTGTAAGAAGCACGCGAATGAAAAGAAGTCGGACTCGTATCAAAATGATCTATCTCCCCTTTCAACGGCTATCAGCAAATGGAAATGGAAACTTCTATTAATTTCTCCAAATTCACTTATTTTTTTTGCACGAGATAACACTTTTATCTCGTTATAGAATAAGTAACGAAAAGTTCGTTTACCCTTTGCACCGTCGAGGCTGCTAAAAATGTGATTTTCCTCAGTGGAACAAAAATAATAAGTGGATTAAAAACCATCGACGATCGTCGTGAAACGCCGTTGTACGCCATCGAACGATTTAGCCGGACCGGTAGTCCAAGGATTACCCATCTTTGGACAAATCCGAGGTCGGGGGCGAGCCGCATAAAATCACCGTCGTGCTGACGATCGTCGTAAGCAAGAAAATGCACAACAGGACACGATCACTGACCAAAGCGACCTGTTTCCAATCTAACTCTGTCCTTTCCCGGCGATCCTGCTCGACCAGACGCCGCTCGTTCCTCTCGATGGTCGCGTGCACTCTTCCCAGGACCCGGGACCAATGCGCCTCAAGGCCGCCTTCCTTTCCGAGATCTGCGCGATCGTTCGACACGATTCATAACACATTGTTCGTGCGGCACGAATTAGCTGGCTAGAGAAACTGGGTCAAACTAAACTGAGAAAGACTACTGGAGGATAATCGCAACGAAAGGATGCTTTTAGAACGAAAAGAACAATAAACGTATTTGGTTGTTACGCTTGAACGCGAGTGAAAGTGGACATTTCTCAAGTACCGCACATTACAATATCGCACTAGAGCGATAAGATTTTCTTACAAAAACGTACTTCAGCTCTCGCGATACGTTTGTGATTTTTTGAATTACGAGCTGCGTGAAATTTTAAGTACAGACTCGTGAAACATTTCTAATACAACCGACATTGGACCAATGTTTAGCCAATTAATTGTGCTACTAGGATTTAACAGAAACCTCGCTGTTCCATATTAGGATCCTATCTCGAAAAAGGAAACTTTCCTCTATTACAGACTCACCTAGACTGGGACTAGAGCTGTTACTATCGTCTTTCCTCGATACAAATTTGGGTGACACGTGCTGCTCCGGCAACTCGGGCTTGCAGTGCAGCGGACAATTGTTCTTTCTTCTCGAGAATTGTTCCGCCGGCTCCTGCTGATATAACAAATCGCTGTGATCCCGTATTGATGATCGCGCCGTAACTTTTCTATAGAACGAAGTAATAGCGGGCGCGCGTTTAGAAACTGTAACCGCGAAACTTTCTCTCGAGCGAGGCGTAATACGGTCTTCGTTCGCGCTCGGGATCGGCCATAGACGTCCGTGCATCCGGAGGCAAAGTTTGCTATCTGCATCCCCTCTTATAAACTTGTTATATCTGTCTTTCAATCGACTTATATCTCTTCTATAATTTTTTTTATACTAGACCTATTGTTTTATTTCTGCACAATATTGCAGTAGGCATTGGTGTACAAGATTTTGGTCAGCGTTTATCTCCCTCGTATTCAACTAAACGATTCAGTCAACAAAATGATTCAACCAATGTAGAAAATTGCATGACGACCCATGGCCGGCAAATTCTAATTAAGGAAATTTATTGGGAAAAATAATACCTCAGTCAGGGTTTGAACCTGGACCTCCCTACACTCTAGGCGGGCGTCTCAACCAATTCGTGGTTCAATCCACTCAAATTTAATCAAATTATTTTGTTTTTTTTTTTTCGACAAAATGGGTCTCTATATTCTCTACAATTTTTGGAGTGAAGTTTTCACTCGAGTCATGGTGTCACTGACCACTTCACTCTATTCGAGTGAATATTTAGGAGCGAGAATCCACGTGAAAAACTTGAGAGAGTACCATCCCCTGTTACATCTTCTAACTTGTGTATGTACGAACGTCTGAGGCTTATCCCGTTATCCGCCGGAAGCTGCACGACTTTCGAAATTATCGGACCGCTCTGGGAGAGACGCGCGCACAATATTGGGCCAATTTTATTACATTGAAATGGGTTTTCGGAAACCGGATTGTCCTAGTGCATTGGCTGAACGTTGGTCCAATATAACCAAATATCGGGCCAATGTTTAACCAATGTTCGGTCAATCCACTGTGCTCCTAGGGTGGCTGTTTGCAAAATGCCCCGCGTACTACAAGGAACTACAAGTATACATGTGCATTACGTGCATCCGTTTTACCGATCTATTCTCCTCTTGGAAATTCAGAAATACTATCCTGGCTAATTTGTCTAAGACCAGCGATCTCACGATACTCGGTACGCGTATGCCCCGCACACCACGGTGATGCAAATTCAATGTCACGACCGCCAGGCCGGATGCGAACGACACCAGGCAAATGCTGACGCCATAGTAAAGACCTGAAAGCACCCAGACGGAAAAGGAAGGTACAGATGGATGGAATAGATAATTGAATTTCTCTCTCCTCGATAAGTTCACGAAGGATGCGGAGAGTGATTTAAGTGACAATTTATACACAATATTCGTCTCTCTTAAAATGCGTCGCGCAGAATTCAAAGGATCGGACAGAATGGGGGGGGGGGGAAAGAACGTAATGTTGTTTTTTTTTTATTTGAGAGAATTTACTCAGCCTGAATATCGCGCGCTTTCTACAATTTTTTCCAAGGAAATTGTCTGTCATATTTTCTCGCGCGAACTGTACCTAACCATTAAACAAAATTCTTTCTCCACTTGGATAACGATTCTGAAACTACTTTTATTCGGTTTTCTCGTTGTTCTTTGAGCACGCTCCTTCTCAAAGGGGATCCCCTCTTTGAAGACTACATTAGCAGAAATGAGACGGTGTTCAGTCTTGCAGAGACGGCTAACCGCGTCTCCAGAAGGTCCCAGGTGCATTTTCCCGCGGGTTTTTTTAATCATTAATGAACCGCCCGAATCGAAATCGCGATAACACCCTGCATCGGACGATTTAAAATTAATATAACCGACTTTGAAACTCGAAAATATGACGCCAAAGAGATATTTGCGAAAAAATTCTACCAAATACAACAACAGGATAGAAAGGATTGGCGGATCGTGATACTTCGAAGATATCGCGAGCTTGTAAAAATATTCCCGGAATTGGAATTCAAGATCCGGAAACGACTAGCGAAGTACTCACTTATCAGCGGAGTCTTCTCCGTGGGTGGCAAAGTTTCGCGAATGGTCATCAGGAACACCGTCATGGAGAGAAGGGCCGAGATGCCGAGGGTGACTTTCTCCCCGGACTCGGAGGGCACGTAGAACACGAGCAGGGCTGGGGAGAGCAAACAGGAGCAGCGTCCGCGAAAGTTTTATCCTTACCGCGAAATATTGAATCCAAGATATTTCACGAGACTTCGAATTGAAGTCTCGTGACAAACTCGAAAGTTTGCAGTAATCGAAAATGGCACCACCGAGGCTGCGGGAAGAGCGACGAAAAAAGAGCAAAGGCGGTCTCGGGTTGCTTTTCTCTAGGAACTTCGATAAATTTAAATTTTCTTAAGTTTCCCGTAGCTTTCGTTTCGCGCAAACGTGCACACATTTAACGTGTTAACACCTAAATTTTTTTTTATTGGACTGACAATTTCGTATTTTATAGAATATCGGTTTCCCGCAATTTCCATCTGAGTGACAATTTCACGAGAAATATAAGCAAATATTAGTGGAAACGAATTTTAATTTTATCTATGTACTTTTCATTGTGCTGTCGTGTAAAATAATTCAGGTTCTAACCAAATGAAACCACGCGAAGGTCTCCCCTAATTTATAGATGTCATTTTTCACTGTTCTACAATAACCATCAATTTTATCATCGGAAAGCCATAGCGTTGTCCCATTTATCCGACAGTCTCGATTGCCCCACCGGGTCTTATATTCTGTTGTTCTAATATTTGCCTTTTTCTCTTTTATGTATGTACATGTACATATATCTCGTACATTGATTTTTTCATTACGTTAATTTTATTCTGTCAATTGTTGTTGTTAATGCTTCACTTTTTCACTTTTCTCTATCTACCCAAAGCTCTTTTCTTAGTCATGGGCAATTGCCGTTCAACAAGCTTGGCTCCAATATCTAGCAAGTTCTCGGAAAATTTCTTTCATTATCGATAATGGCAACAGAAATGCAATGAAATGCTTCGGATTATGCCGTCGTTTCCTTTAGGGCGATAACTTAATTTGTTTCCCCTCCTCCTCGTGCAAATCCTAAGGCTATTAGACCCATTGGCCTATATTATTTTTCAAATTCTCGCCCTCCCTCCCTTCTTCCCCCAGAACTACGTAATATTCTTCGATGATCATTCTTTTACGCTTATGCAAAGAATTAGCGACGTATGATAGTGTACACTTTTCTTCTTTATAACTGCACTAACGCGGTGTTACAATGCATGTAGATCAATTTATCAGTATTTTTATAAGTAGAGGAAAGTCCTCTATTATGAGATAGGTTTCTAATATGAGATAGCAGGTTCTCAACATCAAAATTTAATCACAAATCTTTATCCACAACGATTACACGATCTAACAATGAATTTTCCACTAAGCAGATTTCACTCCAAGGGCAATAAATTCACGATGAAACCAATATTTGATGCCTATTAATTTAGCAAAAATGCTATCTCATATCAAGAGCCTGTCTCATAATAGGAGACTTTCCTCAATTTATAAAATTTATAAAAATATTCATAAATTGATATAAGTATTTTATTGGTTATAAGTATTGGTTATAAGTATTTCAGATAATAGAAAGTCAAATGAGAAATTATAATTTCTTTTTTCCGAATTATTAAATAATAAACTCGAGAATAATTTTACTTTGGCAGCAATTTAAATAACAATTACTATTTAACGTCAACCATTTATAACGAGCAATCAATTAGATATCGATCTGTAATCAAGTAATTTGTTTCGAAAATGTTTTTTCACATGACTTAAGTACACAGTTGGAAAATTTGTGTTTTCTTGTTAAAGAAAATGCCGGTTAAAATTTTTGTGTTAAATGTTTAACACATTCATGTGTTAATTTAACATATTGCTCTTGTGTTAATTGACCTCAAATGTATTATAAAATTATTAAAATAATTGAGAAGAAATGTTAAAACAACACAATGTGTACTTATTTTTTAATCTTACACAAGTGATTTCGAATCGTCATTTGACTTATTAAGTACATCTGTAAAATGTAAAAATTACATTTTTAAAATTCATTTCGTCATTAAAAATATGTTAATTTTACACAAAATTTATTTCAAATTATTTTGAGATTTGCATTTAATTTGTGTTAAAGTATTAACAGAGTATTAGTGTGACCATTTACGAGTAACATATCCATATGTTAAATTAACAAAAAAATTTATGTGGACCGTTTGGGACATGTGATATCTGTTAAATTTAACACAAATTTTTCAACTGTGTATATACTCTTTTCACAAAATTACGAATCTCTTTCTTGCGTGCATATAAAAGCGATGAACAATGCATCTTGCCTCCCCTATCGAGCGATAGATCTTAACACGTAATTTCATTGCTCGCACAGTTATTAAGACGCCACTTTTTTCTCGGAATTACGAGAACTATTATGCAAATTCATTAAATCCGCATCTCGTGGTAGTAGGGACAGTTTCAATTTTCTTATGCAAGCAGGTCGTGCGGAGAGTGCGGAAAGAACGCTAGAGGGAACCTATCTAATCTCGTATATGACTTCTCATGCGGTCTGCCGCTTCGTGGTCTCAAGTTTATTTATGAAATCCCCTTCGTAACCAACGGTAAGAACTGTTACTTCCTTTATTAATAAACGAGGTCCTCGAGATTTGCATCGCGTTACCGCATATCATTAATTCGCAATCTGTGAAAGTTTACTTGCGAGATTAAAGCGTCTTAAACAGTTTCGTGTGCACTCTTTTTCTGTATAAAACAGACGCTCTTATAAAGAAAGGCGGTATATCGATTATTTTATTCACTTCCCAAATAGAACGCGATGCAATTTCGTAAAGCTCGGTGCTTATTTGAATAAGTATGCTGTATTGTATACTGAAAAATTCTCCGTATTTGTAGAACGCAGCTACTAATAATGCAATTATTAATTGTTCTCAATTTTTCTTTCTCAATGTAGTACCACGCTCTTCGATATACGAACGTCAATCTATCGCGAATCGCTAACTGCACTGTGAGACTCATTTTGTTGAATAGATTTAAACGAAATAATTTGAATCATTTTGTTGAACATGTAATTTGGTTGTACAAAACGAAAAATATGTTGCCGAAAAGAAGTTAAACGTTACAATTAACTATTTATTTCGTTTCCATGAGTTGTTTATCCGAACAAAATTTTATGGTTGAGATAACAAATTCGCCCATCTCATCACGTCCTAAATAATTGTGTTTGTTGCGTAAACTAAATCGTTTTTATTGAATATTATGAAAAGATTCTGCGCATGTTCACTCAATAAAATTTTTTTGGTATTAACCAAAAGATATGTTTGCCCATGTCGGAACAAGAAATACAATTGAGTCAACTAAATTTTGTTTCATTCAACAAAATGGGTCTATCAGTGTGCCCTAGTAGCACAGTGCATTGGCTAAACATTGGCCCAGTGTCGGTTATATTAGAAATGCACCGGCCGATATTGTTCAACGTAAAGCCAATATTGGCCATGGAATAAATATAAATATTGCACGATAATAATTATATAACATTAGATTTATATTCAAAGTGCATTGGCGAATATTGATCAAGCTTCTAATCGACCATGGCTGGCGATGTGTTTTTAACACAGAAAATTTATTGCGAAAAATATTACCCCAGCCAGGATTTGAACCTGGACCTCCCTACGCTCTAGGCGGGCGTCTCACCAATTCGACCACCGTGGCATGTGATATAGCATAGATCTATACTGTTATTGCGACAAATATTATCATATGCCACGGTGGTCGAATTGGTGAGACGCCCGCCTAGAGCGTAGGGAGGTCCAGGTTCAAACCCTGGCTGGGGTAATATTTTTCGCAATAAATTTTCTGTATTATTAAAGATGCCAGGTATGGTCAAGGAAACACTGGCGTTAAAAAGT